TCCATTGATCTCCTGGGAGGCTGCCCGCTGTGGGGAACAAAACATTGTGTTCTCAGAGTGCTATCCGCCATTCCAGGCCTCATGGGACAGCATTTATGGAGGAAGAAAGTTTAGGAACAAAGTGGAAAGAAACTGCCTTTGAAGAACAGCTTAAATCTTGTTGAGCTTGTCACTAGAGGCCTCTGGAATAATAAACCAGAAGCAAAAATCAACCGGAATTTGTACAGCACACACTCGACGCTGACTCCAGCTGTTGCCTTCCTCACAGGCTTTGGAGGAACACACTCAGAGAACTCTTTTGGCTAAAATGATGTGGAACATCACCCTGTCCTCAAAAGTGGCATTAGCATTTATTGCTGAGCAGCCTATCCCTCAGAGGATGAAATGGGAGAGAAAGCAATGAGGAACATTGGGAAATGGCTTGGTTCACCTGGGCAGTGGTTCTTGTTTTCTTGCTCAAGTTTCACAGACCCTACACCCTCATTCGAAGCCCCTCCTCATGCATTGAAAGCTGGCTGCCAGCTCTTCGAAAATAAGCACACCACCTGGGGGTCTAACCTCTAACACTGCTGGATCAGGTGTGTAGTACCCATCTAGAGTTTTCCTTCAGGTAGGTTTCTCTTGTTTTCTTGCTGATAAGCTGGCCTGACGACAAAAAAAAAATTCTTTGCCTATAAACATTACTTTCTTGGGAAGTTAAGAAAAAGAGTAATAGATTTTGTGTTGAGGTAAGAGATTAGAGAATCTATTCCAATAGTTTAAGGAAGAGTCTGGTAAAAGGATACCCAGATTATGGTTGACCCACATTAGACTCTTTAGCCAGATAGAACAGATATAGTTGGAAAACTATATTAACCTTAGATTTGAAAGTTTGTGTCATGATATTGGTATAATAAGCAGCTAGCCCATTTAGACAAAATAAATGAGAGATGGACCTGTAATAGTGACTAATGGAATAAGAATAGGTTTGGGGACAAATAAAATTAATTTCAAACTGTCATTTGGAGGAGTATATATCTGGGTGATGTTTTCCAGGAGACCTGTGGATAAAAGGCTCAGCGTTCAGGAGGAAGGTCAGGCAGAGGCGGAGATGGTTCCCGGTGACCGGGATGTAGATGGCTGTCGAAGCCATGGGCTTGGATATCGTTACCTAAGGGCAGAGAGATTTAGTCATAACCTCTTAGATCAGTCTGCTGGAAGACATGTGAGTCAATCTGAGAGTCATTAGACTGCGAGAAACCCTCAGGGGATATGGCAGGACACCCATTTTCCTGAAAGGCCCCTAGAAGAAGTAGAAGAGTTATAAAAGGACTGCAAAACCATTTTATGGAGTTTTCTTTGTTCTTTTGTAACTGTCACTAATTGGGCAGATTTCGGTGTCTAAACATTAATTTGTCCCTAACTTTCCTTCTAAGGACCTTTACTAATTTCCTAAGTGTTTTTTTGAATTCTTCTTCAAGGCAGATGTGGAGTCAAAATAATTTTGTATTATTTTTGAAAGATGAGGATGTTTTAGCACTGAACTCTGAAACTTAAAAGTTTAGGATGAAAATGTTGCCCATGAACCAATAGCCCATGTTCATCTGTGCTTAAATAAAAATGAGGACTTTAAAAATAGAGATTCAGCTTGTGCATGGGTTCCCGCTGTGCCCATTTGACTATTTCTTGAGGTCACAAGATGTGACCATACAAATGTCCTAGAGCCCATGAGCTAGGTAGCATGCAAGACTGGATGCTTAATTCATTCCCTCTCCGGGTCCAGCTTTCTTTTGGTACCAGCTAAACCAGTGGGTGGGGGGGGGGGGTGCCCTGGTCCATCTTCTGGGGCCCCTACCGTCATTTTTGTGTCCATGTCAGGAAAGCTTAGTATGCGTGAGCCATCCGTGGTCTGCAGCTTCCTTTTTTCTTTCTTCCTCTTTATTACCCCTCTGCCTTGAAGCAGTATTCTCTTTATTCCAGCACTTACAGAAAACTGTGTCTGTTGACCATTCCTCTTTGAAGTTTTGAGTTGCACTGAAATATTTATAATATGTGGACAAGCACTTGAAAGGGATTTTCGTTTCCGTAAGATGTGTCTCCTGACTTCCTGAGGCCTTTTGATGATGTGAACTCACATAAGGTTTCAGATCAAGGGTTGCTTAATTTAGGGAACACCTCTTGGACATCAGTCAGCAGTTGCATACTCATTAGAGAATTCATCTCAGCCTTCCTCCGGGTGAGACAGCAGTGCGTCTTTGCTGCTTCCTGGCTGTCTGTGGCGTGTTGATCATATTGGTAGTGGCCTCAGCTGCCGTCCTCATGGATGGTTTTGTTGATGCCTCGGGAACCAGGCGGGGAGTCCTGAGCTCCTTGTGTCTAAGTGTGTGTTGATTGGTCCTGGACTAGAGGTGGCAGCAAAGGGACATGGCATTTGGTAGTCCAGGAACCAAGAACTGTCCCTGGATGGTGACCTCACAAAAGACAGGAATTGTTCTCAGGCACCCTCAGATCCTCAGCCTGGTGCAGGGCCTGGCCATCATCCGCTAGCTCTTAAATGTCACAAGTGGAGCAGCACAGAGCATTAGGCTGAGGAAAGAAGGTACTGCTTCAAAGGAGAGAAGCGAAAACCAGGAAGAAAAGAGCAGAGGAGTCTGCGAACCAGGCTCATGCCATTTCTGTGGACTAGGTGTGTCTCTCTTGCTCAGCTGCAGCTCTCAGGGTCAAATCCAGAGTCTGCAGGGATCGAAAATAAACTGTGACATGTGCATGGGACTGCTCTTGTATCTGCCTCCTTACTGTGACACGTCTTCCAGGTGACTGGGCTAACACAAATATTCTAAATAAGCAATTAGTTGGAGGCTTCTTGAAACCAAATAGTTTGGTGCCTTGAAAGCAGAAGCCATGGGTGGAGAATTGCTTTTGAATGCCAGCCTCTGATTTCTCGCACTGTCTCCAATTATGTAGTAGAACGTGGGAATACATAAATGAATTATGAAACAGTGAAAGGATAAAATACCATGTGGTCATTAAAAATCACATTTTCAAGTGACATTTATGGATAAGGGAAAATCCTCATTATGTAATGTTATGTGAAAAAGCAAGACACTATATCTTGGCACATGTAGGGGCCCAAATAAATTCCTTTTGAATAAATGAACATTTCCTCGATGAATGAGGTGAAAACCTTGTATGGCTGTGCAAAAAATATGAGTCCACTGATGAATATGGCTCTTCACCTCTTAAGTGAAAAATCATGGACTGGTGGTCAAGAAGTCTGGGTGTAGTCCAAGCTTTTAACTCTTTTGGAGCTCAGTTTCCTTATCTGAAAACTGAGGTGACAGGCTGCTCCAAAATGGTCCCTAAGGGGCGCTTTTGGGTCCCACATGCTCTGGGTTGTGATTAGAGTCTCTGGGCAAGGCTGCTGTGGTTGAGGACACCACAAGGCCGGTCTCATGTGGTTCACATCACTTCATCAGCGTGACTTCAGCAACCTTGACCTCCTAGTGTTTCCCATCATTTCGTATGACTGTGTTGAGTTTCTACCTCCTGAGCCACTCCTTGCTGCTGCTGTGGAGAGAGGCCTCTTGATTTATTAATCAATTAATCAGTGCATGCTGAGGGGCTGTTCAGGGTAGTTAAACAAGGAAAACAAAATACTGGAGCCATAATCAAGATGGATCGTAATTAAGAGCGACCCTCCCCCCGCCGATCTTCCTGCCCACCCTGGCTGCCCCCACCCGGCCTCCCTCACCCACAGCTCATCAAACCCGCTCAGCCCTGATGGAACTTCTGCCCCATGAAAGTTGACAGCAAATTTCAGAGGGGCAGATTTTCTGCTAGTATCCAAGAGGAAAATAAGCCTTGAGATAAGCCTCATCAGTTACTTGCAACAATTGTTGAATCTCAAAAGTTCCATCAGGCCCCAAAAATGGCATAGTGGCTCTGTCCATATTTGCAGATACTGTGTTCTCCTGTCCCAATTTCCCTACAAACAGAGTCATGAAGCTGGAAGGACCATACAACAAAGATAGGCCATGGCCTATGTGACACATGGGAGGTTCAGCAAGGCTAAGTAAGTTGTGCAAGGTCACACGGCTATTAGGAGCAGAACTGGAATTAGAACCCAGATATCTTGATACTCAGTTAACACACCTAGTGCTTATTTCCCTGTGCAATCCTGCTTTCCTGTAAAAATTAAAGTAAATGAAAGAAATCATCCTCATTAAATTCATTTTCTGATTTCTTATAGATATGGGCTTCTCAGCTAAAGAATTTTTAATAGTAGTTTTAGATGAAGTTGTAGGGAAAAGTATCTTGGACTGTTTGCCAAGGAGATATTTTTCTTTTAATCAATTGGGATATTGGATACATGGATGCAGGCACGGCCAGCTCACCACGGGGCAAATGGTAAACAGAGTGAATCCGCAGGGCTTTGCTGAGCGGCTGGAGCAGGCTGGCTCTCTGGTCCAGAATCTGTTTAGTTTGGTTTTCTTCCAATGGCACTTTGCACACAGTGCTAGCGAGGCCAGGATTTTCTTAGAATAGAATCTCTGTTCTGGGTCACAAGTGGTTCCTCCATCTGTTACCAACTTTCCGTTGGTCACAGGCAGCTAGGGGCCACATGCAATGGTCCAGAATGACTGCACCCCACTCCTCCTGTCATGCCTGGACAAACGTCTGTGTCTACTTAATGAACACCTTGGGAGGATCCAGGTATGGCAATAATTCTTTAGTGGGAGAAGAATGTGGAATGTTCTTATTTGACTGGTCTGGTGAGGAGGATGCTTAGAAATCTTGTTTTTTAATTCTTTAAAATCTCCACTATAAAAATCTTACATTTGTCAAATGTGTTTGTTAACCAGAGGCTCTTCTGCCAGTCTGGCTGCTCATTTCTGTTGGATGTCAATCAAACAGTCAAATTCTTTGGATACATCTAGGGCTTAACTCATAAGCCAGGCATCTGAATTGTTTACAGCCTTGAGTTATACGCTCTCCTTTTTCTCTGCTTGTGTGTTCTCCAGGATCCTGCTTTCTCAGCTGTGATTCACGACAAGCTCCAGGTCCCCAACACCATCCGGAAGGCATGGAATGACAGGGACAATCGCTGTGACATTTGTGCCACACACCTGAACCAGCTGAAGCAGGAGGCCATCCAGATGGTGCTGACCTTGGAACAGGCAGCTGGCAGTGAGCACTACGATGGCTCACCTGGCTCGCCCCCACCCCTCTCCAACCTCCCCACGCTGGTGGGGTCCCGGCACGTGGGTGGGCTCCAGCAGCCCAGGGATTGGGCCTTTGTGCCCGCTCCCTATGCCTCCTCCAACTACACCGCCTTCGTCACTAACAAGCATAGCAGCAAACCCAACAGCCTCGGGGTCAGCAATGGGGCAGAGAAGAAGAGTGGGTCTCCAACACACCAGGCCAAGGTCAGCCTCCAGATGGCCACCAGTCCCAGCAATGGGAACATCCTCAACTCAGTAGCCATCCAGGCTCACCAATACCTGGATGGCACCTGGTCCCTGTCGAGAACCAATGGGGTCACCCTCTACCCCTATCAGGTAAGTAGCCTCTGAGAAAGAAGAACAGGGTTGGCTAGAGTCAAAGCAGAGAAGTGGGCAACACTTTCTTTCTCCACTCTTGTCCTTCTGGGAACTCCCCAACTCAGAACCTAATTTTTCCATGTGGCCCTGTGGATGTTGTTAAATAAAGATAAAATATGAGGGACAGTGATCCACTATAGCTGTCTGCTTCCATGGTCTACACCATCTAAAAGAGGTGTAGACTTCCTTCCTAACCTCTCCCACCTTGCCGAACTGTAATCTTTTTCTATTTGCAACTCACCTAAATACTGTTGGGATTAGGTTACCAAATGTATTTTCCCCTTTTCTTATTTTCTCTTTTCAGTTATTTAAATTTGCACATACTCCCAAGTTTCCCTATAGAAATAAGAAAGCAGGTCTTACATCTGCCAAGGAGTCTAAAAAAATTGTCTTAATTTTTCTTGGGTGAGTTTTCTGTTGGATGAAAGTTGAGTTTACCATGTGTGTTCTCTGTGTCCCCTGCATCAGTCATGCAGGAAGCAGCAGAAGGCGTTGACCATCCCGGTGGAGTGGAGAGGTGGCTGTGGTAATGGAGTGTATTAGCCTGGGAAGATAACTGGTATAACAAATGATGTCAGGTTATTTCTTACTCGTGTCCCTGTTGTATTGGGTGTTTGGTGGGTGGCCTTCCACTATGAGGTAGGGACCTCAGGCTCCTCTCTCTAGCATGCACCATTTTCCAGGGGCCTCAGAGTCTTCCGCCAGGTCTTGCGCACCAGCCAGGAAATGAAGGAAGAGAAAGAGTGTGGAGGATCTCACAGGAGGATTTGGGGGACCCAGCCTGGAAGGGGCATACATAACTTCTATCTACATTCCAGTGGTAAGAATCCAGTCTCCTGGGGAAAGCCAGTCTGTCTATGTGTCCAGGAGGAAAAAGAAAAAAGTTGCATGAACACATAGCATAGTTTCTGTTACATGAGTCAAACATCAAATGAATTAAATGTGGCTGATAAAATTCCTGGTGACTTTTCTAGAGTATAAGATTGTTTCTCTTGATATCTTGAAAGAAAATGGGGAGCATGGATCATTATCTAAGGAAGTTAGCATTTTGGACTGCCGAACTTCTCATTGACTGAGTGCTTTGTAGTTTATAAAATATAGTGCACGCATCATTTTATTTAACTCCACAATAGGCCTGTGGAATAGGCTGGGCAGATGTTAAATTGTCCTTTTACAGATGGGGAATACAATGCTTAGAGAAACTGAAGGACCTGTCGGTTTCCTCTACCACAGCTGCTTCCACCTTTCCCAGCTTACTCCAGAGCAATCTCCTATCGACATCTTTTCCAGATATGGCTCCTTTTCAGACATGGCACACCAAAGAAAAGGAGTCCTATTTTGACCTGCAGGGTCCTAGCTGCCACTTTACATTTGGGTGGAATTTTCTGGGTTATGGACATAAATATAATGAGGAATCAGTGGCATCCTGGGTGGGATTTCATAGTCTACTGCTTAAACATAACCATCTGGGGCAGGAACAGAAGAGCTTCTTTCCATTGTTGAATAACAGGCTTTTTTGGTTCACAATTTTAAAATATGCTATTTTTGAAAATTATACAAAGTAAGATGTATCTACTGTAAAAGAAACTAAAAAATATACAAAAATGTTTAAATAAGACTTCAAAAATCAACATCACCCAGAAATAGACCATGTAACGTTTGGGTATATTTCCTCCCAGTATTCTACACACACACAATTTGTAAAATTGTGATCATTTTCAATTCTGTGACCTGCTTTTTGCTTAATGTACTGAGTACATTTTCCTGAGCCATTATATATTTTTCTAAAATATGATCTTTAATGGTAGCATAATATTCCATTATGTAAATACTTTATACATTATATGAGTATGTCCTAATTTATATAGCCAAGGATCAATTATTAGAGTTTGGGTTTTTGCTACTATAAATAAAATGCTCTGGTGCACATCCTTCTACCCAGGTCACATTTTGAACATGTCCCGGGATGTGCTTGCCACATTCTCATGTTACACAGACAACTCACATTTCACCTTCCAGGGCCCCAAAGCACTTGTAAATGTATCAGGTGCTAGTTAGAAGACCCAGCTGCTGCACAGTGCTGATGAGCAGACAGAAGAACTTGGAACTGGTGCTTTCATTTAAAATATTCGAAATATTGGGAAAGTGTGTGAGAAAGGGAAAAGCTGAAGATGCTGGTTAAACGGAAGATTAGGTATTATTCGTGCATTTTTTTATTCGTGCAGTAATTCTTTCTGCTCCTCTTTTCTCCTGCCTCAGATGAAAAAGAATCTCTTATACAATATCAAATGTTTATTAAGCTCTAACCAAGTGCCAGACACTATGCTAGGTGTTGGATGGGGCGCCTGCCTTGGGCTGGAAGCCCAGGTTCCTGTCCTGCTGTGTGTAGGGAAGGAAGCAGGTGAGCTGCCTGTTATGAGCCAGGGAGGCGAGTAGGAAGGTAGAAAGATGCCCAGACTGCTCTGAGGGCATGCAGAAGGGCTCGCAATCCAGCCTGTGGGGCAACGGTGGGTTGATGTGGCCTAAAGCCAGATGCAAAGATGATTCATGCAGATTGTCCTGGGTAAATGTGATTGCTTCTTTCCACCTCCAGAACAGACTAATTCATGCATTAAAGGGATCAGAGGAAATCTCTCTGGGATAAAGAGATTTGGTGCCTGGCTGTGAATCAGGGTCCCCGTGTCATGACTGTGTCATCCTGATGCCCTGGGATGGAGGCTCTGGGTCTGGCCAGACTGTGTGTCTCCTGTTACGAACATCTCCCTGCAGTAAATATTCTGCAGTTCACAGTCTAGCCAGCGTGGCAGAGATGGCTGACTGCTCTGAAAGCTGACCTCACTTTTCCTGCTCACCCGTACTCCCACTTCTCTCCCTGCAGAGCAGATGGCCCTCTGGATTAGTGCCAGAGCTGTTCCCTGGGCATAGAAGCATCTAGACTTTGTCGCTACTGAGGGTTCTGCTCCACAGTCACAGACCAGGAGCCTGTAGAAATGAGGGAGAAGAGGACACTGTCCTTCTGCCATTTGAGCGCAGAGAGGGTAACAAAGATGAGGACAGGCTTTCCAAAAGGGAGCAGGGTGAAACTTTCGCATGGGTGACAGAAAGGCCCCTCAAATTCCTCAAGCCCCCTTTACCCACATCACTGTGTAACAATCCTCAGTTGTCTTTCAGATAAAGACTTTCTTCTATTAGCTTGCAGACATTTAACATTATCTATACACATACATGGAAAGCAGAAAATGCTCCAGAACCTTCATTTGACCACATGAGTTTTGACTTGGAAAAGACATGTCTGGATTAGTTCCTTGTAGTTAACCATAGATTAATGACCTCTTTTCGAACGGCAGCTGTTTTTGCCTGGTTTACATTCATTTTGGTAAAGAACTATGGGACAGAGTGTACACACAACACTTGGAATCATAGACTGTTACGGTTCCAGTCCAGAGTCACAGAATCCAGTTCTGTAGACTGGTCACTGTCTTTTGCGTTATGCTGGGCGATTTGGCGACAGTCCTACCTGGTTCCAGTGCATAGCTCCGTCAGTTGTTGAACCTCAGTTTAGTAGCTTAACATCTTACTCTATTTCCTTACCTATGAAATCCCTACCTTGGAATATCATTGTGGAGAACAGCTAAGAAAAAAATGGAAACACTTTATAATGATAAGGCAGGGATACCAATATTGTCTATTCCAACCCCCTCATTTGCCAGAGAAGAAACCCGAAGCTGAGAGATATGAAGCTTCTCTTGTTCGGAGTTTCCTGAATCTTGGTTTGATCTCTTTTGCTAAATTACAGACTCATTGAGAACATGGATCCATTTTGTTCTCATGTCCCTCACAGCAGCTAACACACGCCAAAGGGGCTGCTCATTACAGAAAGCTTCAATCTCAGGAAAACACTAAAGGTGTTTCTCATAACAGGCCCTACATTTAGGAAAAAGTTCCAGGCTGAAGGACCGATCCAGACCCCAAGATTTTTGGTGGAAACCATCAGTTAATCTGCTCCAAGCTAATCTTTGACCTGAAGTATCAATAATACTCAATAAACCCTTGGATGCGGTGAAAAGAATCCAGGTGGCATTTTGATGTCACACTCAATACAGGGGCATTTTGAAAGGGTAGAAGAACTTTATTTCATAGGACTTTGATACATTGAGCTTGTCAAGAAAATGCAAGAAGATGCTGGATTAATACAGAAGTAATAAATCCATAATGGATCCCTAATGTGATGAAGTATTCAATGTGCATTCCTTGACTTAAAGGAAAATGTCTTTGATAAAAATTATCCTGCTTTCTCAAAAAGCGTTTATTGGAATCAGTGTCAGACATAATGTAGACTGAACTCTGGCTGAAGCCAGTGTGGTATTGCCTGTATTATATCTTTAGAAATTAATTGTGCCTAGTGAGCTCAGGCATTATTAGAGTTTCCATTTTAAGATATGGGCAAGAGGGGTGCTGTAGCGTAGACCCTGATCTGCAGAGATCAGAAGCCTTGGGAGGACTTGGTGCTGGCCCTGTTTATGGAGGACTTCCCAGCGCCCCTGTAAGAGGAAGGCAGCCTCTGAGGCTCGCTGGTGCTCCAGTACTCAGAGGCTTTGTTTATGATGGATTCCTGGAAACTAGAGCACATGTTCTGTGTAGCTGACGTCTGGGGAATGAGGTTTATCTGTGGTCCTTCCTCGTTCAACTACTTTTCAAGAAGGAGCAAGAGCAGGTGTTCACAGCCAGTCGGGAGTGGAGGATTCCCGTCCTGTTCTTTGCTCAACCACCTGTCCCCTGCTCTGTGCAGAGTGCCCTTCTTGGGCCAGCCCTGGTATCAGTTTGCTGCCCATTGGCTGCTGCTTCTGCCCAGCCAGGGCAATGGCATAAGATGTCACAGTCTGACAAATTATGACGTCAAAAGGCCTTTTTAACTTCATGAGTTTTTCTTCTCTCCTGTCTTTAGGTGATCAAAGGAG